AAAAAGACTTAGGCTTTATGTATAAGAACACGGATGTGAGAAGCACGAACTATATGATTCACAGTCGGTCTGTTTCCTTGTTTCAGACTGGGAAGCTAGAACACTGCCCTAACAGCGTCACAGCAGGAGACGGTGAGTTTGAAGTAATTTAGTGCTTCAGGGCACCAGAACTGTGGTCAGAGCTAACTGTATTGTTCCTAATAAAACACAGAGATATCTCAAAACATGTAGGGGCAGACTGGATTTGCTATGCTTTTCTCATACTGCTTGATACATTTCTGGTTATATCATGAATCCTGCAGCACGTGCTCAATTGTTTGCTCCTGAATCCTCTAGATGTAGCTGATAGCTTCATATTTTCTTCAGGCATCCAGAATTTTGTCTCGGTAAAAAAGAAAAGGTAAAGCTTTCCCTGTAACAGGCCGTGGAGGCCCATAGGGTTGTGAGACGTCGAGGTTCTCATATTTTCTAGACAATCGTCTCTTTACCTCCCTTTACCCCCAGGAAGATTCCTGGTACTCATTTCTGTTAGAGGCTGAGTCGACCCCAGGGCCATAGTGCGGCTGGAAGGATTAGGTAAATTTAAAAAATCCACTTCATCGGGACTCGACCTTCCGGCTTGTAGCATAGTGCCTCAAGCAACTACGCTACCACGTACCCCACGGTAATCTGAAAGACAGTAATTTACATTTTTCATAAGTATGATTACAAATATTCCGAAATCAGAGCAACGTCGCGTAGCTTTAGAAGAAAAGCCGTGTTACTTTCGTCCACTCAAAATTTGAATAGCCGGGGAAACGCGTACAGAATTCCGTATAAGGATAATACAACGACATCAGCATAGCTTATTCGGTCACCTAAAACTGGCCAAGAGATAAGAAGGTAAATTTGTCCCTGTGCCTAATTAATTAAGCTCCAAGAGCATGAAGACGTATGGGAAAATTATGGTTAACGCCATCATTCTTGACCTCGGCACTAGATGGAGGTGAACGGTCAGTTTCACGCCTAGTCAGCTTTACCCCCAGGGAAAGAGCCCCGGTATCAATTGGGCGGGAGGCTGAGTGAGCCCCAGAACTTGTCTGGAATCTGTGAAGAAGAGAAAAATCTTTTACCCCTTCCAAGAACAGAACCCAGGCTTTCCAGCTCAAAGCCTATCGTTATACCGAGTGAGCTAACCCGGTTCATAGGTAAAACCGTCTAATTTTTATAATTCATTACAAATAAATAATACAGAAAACGTGTTAATAAGCGTAACTATTTTCTTTCTGGCTGTCACTTGGCTGGACGACGTAATATCCCCAAGTTGCGT